CAGGTTTCCCACTCTACCGGCAGGGTGACTCGGGCGGCCCTCTGGTGGTGCGGCAGGAGCACAGGTGGCGCCTCGTCGGTGTCGTCAGCTTTGGCTTCAAGTGCGCGGCCGCTCAATATCCGGGCGTCTACACACCCGGGTACAAAATTATGTCGACTGGATCAACTGGTACATCGACAATGAATAGCAAATCTGACCTCAAGTCTTGAAATGGTGAGCAACAGTGCTGCAAGACCACAGCATGGCCTCCATTGACCATGATGGAATGTACACCGCAAAAGGCCACTCAAACCACAGGCGATGGGAAAGTTATGGAATTAGTTGCGTGTGTTTGTATGAGATTCAAAAGTGTGCCATATATTTCCGTACTGTTATACGCGATAGCCACTTTAGCTGATACATGATAAATAAAGATGACCTTATGGTCGCTGTTGGCCAAGCTTCTCTTTGATGGTTTGCAAGACTGCAATGTAACAAAAAAGCGTACAACGCCGAATGGCATGAGCTGGGGTTCAAGCACCGTGGCTAGTTAAAGAAGACGACTATAAGGTTGTTTTACATTACGTAAGGGAATTAGTCTGGGGTTTTAAATAGACATATTCCGGAATCAGAGCTGGGGGTTTGTTGCGTGAACCATGAACCCACCATCAGGTTGTGAAATTTCGGATCAGGACGAAATTTTATGGCAGACACGAACGCTCCGTCTCGTTCGATACGGTCCGTCTGCCCCTGACGGCAAACATACATACCCTCGCGGTAAAAACGACCCAGTCGCCCGTCCTTCGCTTGCAGACGGCAACATACACACCGTGGCATAAAAACCATGTTAGACGGTTGTAAGACATTATGCATGAGGCTTAGCGATTCCAGACATTCTCCGTCAACCAAAAGCCTCCTAGCGTGAGGGTGTGCCTGTGTATGTGCGGGTGCCAGGTTGCCGGTGTCAAATGCTGCCCACCAGCGGAAACACTTGCCTGGTACCTGTAGCGATACTGACATGCAACCGCTGCGAAACACGTGCCAGGTGCCTGTGTCAGTACTGACTACACACAACCGAAACACGTGCCAGGTGCTAGTGTCGATACTGGCTGCGCCCCAGTGAAACACGTGCCAGGTGCCAGTGTCGATACTGACTGCAACTACACGCCAGAGAAACACGTGCCTGGTGCCTGTGTTAATACTGAAGAAGCAGCAGCCAGTCTGGTATTGGGCCGAGGGATCCAGCAGGAGCCGGGATCCAGTCTCGTATAAAAGGGAAACATCCGGCAAAAATAAGAGCCAGGTTGACAATTGGCCGAAAGGTCCAGCAAGAACCAAGATCCAAACTGATACCAAGCCAAGAAAACCAGCAATAAACTATAGTCAGGCTGGCATTATGTTGAAAGATACAGCAAGAACCAATATTTAGCCTGAAACACGTAGAGATAAATTAAAAAACCCAATATGCCACTCAGGATTTAGCAGGACTAAGCTGAGACCCAGCAAGATCCAATTTCCTGTCAGGAATGAATGCCAACGTAACCAGGAAGAACAAAAATCCTACCTGAGCCCCCTGTCAGCAAGAACCAAGGGTGTTACTCAGGGGTACAATTTCAAGTAGTTTTAGAGGGCTGAACAGGGAAAATAGCTAGACTTATTCCCGCTGCTCTGTCTTTTCTGTCTTGTCTTGTGTTGGGAGGGGCTGAGATGACTCAACAATGTAAAACTACACCTCTAGCGTTCCTTAAGGTTCATGCAAATACATGCGACCTGTCTCAGAAGTGGTTCATTAACGTACATCGAACCACGTACGTTGCTGGATTATTTCAGAAAGCTTTCCAAGATTTAAGTCGCTTTATGCAACCATATCACAATAAGATCTACAAACATCTGCCTCACTGTAGAGTGGAGCATGAAAAAGGAAGCTATGTACCTTTGGCCTTCCATTTTTATGCTTGCATGTAGTCTTGTGTATAGCTGAGAACTCACTTTTGATACTTATACCAAAAGCTTTTCTCCAAGGCTGGTCAGTGCAATATCCGTAAATTTGTAAAATTGCTACCACCCTCACCACAATAACCCAAGATTTGCTCAACTTACTGATTCACAGAAATTGCTGCTCATTTGCATCACGTTGCGCTTCTTCAAACAAATCCTTGCTTACGGGTCACTGTAATGGGAGCTGCTTTCCAAGACAATAAGCCCTCATGAGTACAGGTGACTGCAAGCTTTGATGACTGCATCTTAGCAACCAGACGGGAGAGCAAATGCCATAACGCGTAAAATAATTGCGGTGCTTCACCTTATTCGAGCTGATCTATTCCAACCTCCTTTTTTGCAACCGTTTTGGATACCGTAATAGGCAATATAGTCAAGTTACCAAAATGTCGACCCTCAATGTCAACCCGCGCCAGAGTGACCGGTTGGATACTCTTCGACGTGGGTGGGGGGGATTTGACCCGCTGAGATCTCAAGAACTAGGAGAGCTAGATACACCACAATTCACAGGGTGTATTGACCTGTATATAACCTCACTTAAATCAAAGTTTAAAGTTCCCGGGTGATGACTTTAAGTAAAATAGGGTCAGACAAGGATCAAATTACAGGCTGGTCTCTAAAGACCCCCTAGAAAGTAGATGACTGGAACTAGGTCAATACTTAGAGGACACCAATTTCATTTAGCAATAGACAGCAGTAGGAACTATAAAAAGACAGACGACATTTGGTCTAAGCGTAGTGAATTACTAGGCATATTGGGTGTATTTAACAGTATGGCAAGATCCTAATGTGATTGATTGGTGCACCATCCATAATAGACGCCCCTTTTATTTCCGCAATGACAAGCGCATTGTTTCAGTTGTCAGATAGCCATTTGTGAATATTGGGCAATAATCTTCAGCTAGCATCAAAGCTTTCATTAGTTGTAATGGTGGTATCAGGTCCGTGCTGATTGTTTAACTGGCATGTGGTGGTTTATCTTCATGTGGTGAGAGCAGAAATATGCGGGTTATCCTGTGCGATAGGTTTAGCTGTCAGGCGATGACTCCCAAGTTGAGGGCAACTGATCCATAACTAACAGTTAAGTTTTGTTAGTTGCATTGGTGATATCAGCACATGCTGATTGTTTGAGATCCAGGATGTTGGGCGAAAGGACCAGCAGGAACCATGATCAAGGGTTTTATTTTGTCAAGAAAACCAGTTTGGAACCAGGATCAGCGACCTGGTTTTGTCGAAGCAGCCACTGGGATCCAAGAGCAAGCTGGGAACCGGGCACACGTTGTATTGAAGGCCTATTATATCCAGCACAAGAACTGCCAGCTCAACATGGGTAGGATGTCCTACTGCACTATCTCGTAGCGCTAAGAACACGATCGGTTTGCAGGCCGGGACGAGTTGCTGACCACTTAACAATGAGGGCGAAACACGCGCGCGCAGTTTGGACGCACGTCAAGCCACCTGGCATTTTACCTGGGGCGGCACCAGGCTCCCCCACTGGCAGCCTACCCACGTGCCAAGTTTGGCAATCGCAACTTATCCCGTTGGCGGCGCGGGGGTGAGCCACTTCAGGGGGTTGCAGGCGCCCGACGGCACGTCCCGTGACACGCACCGGGCACCGACGAATAAATCATGGAAGGCATTGGTGGCCATGCTCTCACCGACGGAGGGATCCGTACGCCCATCCGTTTGATCTGCAACCGCAACAGTTAGATTTTTGCAGAACCAGTAGCACGTTGCATGTCTCTGCGCTACATCTTTACTTACTGTACTTCTATTAGCTTTGCATATTCTACCCCTCTACGTAAAAGTTTTGACGACACTTTTACAGTATTTTCGAGAAAGTTAACATTTCATAGGCCAATAAAAAATGCAGAAGCAAGAGCATCCATGTGACATTAAATTGCTGAGAACATACGCTGTCATTTTCCCACACAGCGCTCGTGGAGAACAACTTGCTTTCATGTTGGTCATTGGGACTTTACGACGCACTCAGTTTCTGATGCCTTGCAGAGTCGGCTGCATCTCCCCCTCTCTGGAAAGGCGGTCACCGCGGGGAATCGAACGTCTTACTGTTGATTTCTCAGACGCGGACCTCAGCCACTTCACTATCGGCACACTAGAACTCTTTCGAAAGTCCGAAGTACATATATATATATATATATATATATATATATATATATATATATATATATATGTGTGTTGTGTGTGTGTGTAATTTATTTTAATCCTTCCCCCTCTCCCTCTCTCTATTTTTGTCTGTGGGTTTCCCTATGGTTCCATTGACTGGAGCCTCTGGCTCATTTATCTAGCGAAAAAAGCATACTGCTGTACAGCAACAAACTTGGAATAAGTTTACAAATGTAGTTTTTGTCATCGACTTTGAAATATATGAAGAACAATTACCGGTCTTTCACTTTAAATACCCTAAATTACAGGGACCGCAAAATGAAACGCATTGAACTTGATGAGCCATATTCGTTTAAGACAACACTAAGGCTCGAGTAGGCAGCGTTTGTGAAAGCGTGGTTTATCGGAGCAGACGAAGCGTTCAGTAACTTATTGATCCGTACTAAGAATATAATTCGGCTCCCCATCCAAGCCCTTTTTGGTGTGGCCTGTCTGCAGCGTTATACACTCGCGAGGCCTGTCGAACTGAATGTATCGGATCGCATCGTATCGCATTGACAATGCGACCACGGAATCAACCGCACGTAAACCATCGGAGTCGTAAAATTCGACGCACAATTTACAAATTTATTTACACGTTGTTCCGAAACTTGATATAACAGATTTTGCCGGATGGTACTGACTGATGATGCTGACACTTCTGTGATGTCAAGTTGTCGGGGGAGGGGGGACGACGGACCACGGACGGACGCGGACGACGGGCACGCTGACACGACCGACAAACAGACAGATAGGCAGCGGGACGGGGCGCCGACCGCGGGGCTCTCGCGCCAGAGCTCCGTCTCGGGACGCTCTCTGCAACGAGAGATGACTAGATCGCACTCAGTCCACCCCACCGCCAGTGGGCTGCGGACAGCTGCACGCCACACGCACACGCGCATCGCGCCAGTATACACACATCACAAGTGAAATATACATATGTATGGGTTCGAGCAGACAGAGCTTATAAAAACGTCCTTGGAAGGAGTGCGCGGCGGCGGCCGGCCGGCCGGTGGGCGCCGCACCCAGGCCGATCCGGGCGGCGCCAACGGCCGGCGGGCACGCGCGCCCTGCGTCGGGTCACGTGCCGGAGACTGTACACAGCTGCTGAGTGGTGGCACCGCCAGGTGGCAGGGCGGTGGGGAGGTGGCCTCCCAGTGAAAGATGGGTCGAGATGTTGTTTCGTTTACCTGGAAACACGTGGGGCGAGGTCAGGCCGCTTGCAGACGTTAGTAAAGGCAACCAAAGATCTTTGAGGAGGTTTCAAGGATAACACCATTGACACTGGCCTACATACACAATGTGAAACATTGGTGAGCACGGATAGTCGACAGGAAACGATCAGATAGCCGTAACGCAACTCACACAAGTGGTAATTGAGTTAACATTGCATTTTTGTCTTTACATTTTGCACTTAAGACAGGACTGGCACGTTCGACAATACCCCGCCTTACCCGTTGTTGGGACATTTAGTGTAAGCCACAGCATTCAGTTTAAGGAAGGATGGAGATGAAGAACACGGATGGAATACCTGTTTTAGAATGATCGCTCTCGGCTTGTGCGTTGGATATGCACATCATGGGGAGTGTTAGCGAGCACTTTGTGCATCCCAACACACCAAACAAGGCGATAGGCCCGACCTGTTATTTTTTTCAACCCACAATAATCAGTTCGAACGTCGTAATGACATGAAATAAGGCTGCACTTGCACAAGCTGATTGCACAAATTTTGTGGGAGCCATGCACTTACGGACTGTGCAATGTGCGGTGTGGGTATGTGGAGGTCGGCGCCCTGATGTTTGTAAGCTTAAACAACCAATTTTTACTTCGATCAGTGGACTTTTGTAGTGGACAAATTCAATGATATATAAATAAGAGAATTAGTAAGCAGAGGACCAGAATCAAAAATCAGCGTTTCACTTCGCCCAAAAGTATCGCTAGGAGTATAAAGTGATAACGATGGTGGATCCAGTACCGGATCTTGAAGTGTTTTTTTTTTAAGTTTCGAAGATAATGATGATTGCTCGAAAACAGCCAAGCCTGCCAATGGTTTCTGTCCTCCCTAATCTCTACCAGAGTCGTTTGGAGGCGGCTTGAGGCCTTTGGTTACCCTGGGCAACGCCGGTGGCGCGTGGCGTATCTGGCATATGTACAACGCAAAAGGCATGCAAACTGAGAGGTCTTCAGCATTTCGCACCAAACCGATCTACAAGACGCAAGGCGGAGCGTGGCACGCTCCGCGGCCACGCACGCAGCGGAGCCGGCAGACACTGTTTCCGGTTAATGTCGACGCGGCTGGCGCGGTCGCTCAGCCTGTCTGCCGCCGCAGTCGGGCACTGGCGGCCGTGGCATGCCGGTCGGGCCGAGGGCAAGTTACCTGCGCTGGGCGAGGCGCTGACCGCGGCTAGGGGGCACACTACGCGGCCGACTCAGGGAAAGGGCCAGCCAGCATTCGCTTGATGAAACCTAGGGAGCAGGCGAGTCAAGCAGACAGGACACCACGAAAGCATTAGGCTAGCCTCGGGAGCTTCCACGGCATGCCGAGTCGCCTCGTCTGTTAATGTCATAAACTCAACGAGGCGACAGCAGCTTTCGTGTGCCGTGATAGCCCCCGTGCATGGCACTTTCTATTGCCGGACAGAGCTGTTCGCTCGAAGCGCGGCTGCTGGTCCATAAAAGGTAGTACAAAATGCGACGGCTTTGAAATATTGGCGGGAAGCCTGGACTTCACCACGCATGGACGGGAACTTTGATTCACTCATTGCTACCTTCTGGGGGTTGCCGACTTCTTGGCTTACTTCTTCTCTGGATTGGGACCGGCCAGTAAGCCTTTTGACAAAGGCTGAAAAGCAATCACCAGTTTGACTGGGCTGGCCTTTTCCAGCGCAAATGACGGTCGCCCCGCGGGTGCGGCACTAACAACGGCTGGCTTACAGTGCAGTTATCCAACGGACGTGGGGTCAGGCCACACACGGGCGGAGGCGGGGGGAGGCAATCTATCATACTCTTGTCCGAAGCTCCTCCGACGTACTGAAAACGTCAACTGAGTGCTGAGGCCAGGCTTGTCTGAGGGTGGGGGTGGGGGGGGGGGGGGGGGGGGGGGGGGGCAGGTCCTGCGAGAGCAATGATAACCACATGAGAGCGGCTGCTTCGGTGAGTTTCCCGCCACAACTGGGACTCGCTGCCATGCCGGTCGCCATGCCTGCTTGGAAAGGGAATCATCTACCTCTCGTGCGTGAATGTTGAGAACTTGCGAATCTACTTCGCGTCCGGGAAAGGTCCAGCTATCAGCCTTTTGCAGAAGGCTGCAATAGGCAATGATGCAGCTCTAGTTACCTACACAAGAGCTCTAGTTACCTACACAAGAGCTCTAGTTACCTACACACGATTCACTCACGCCTGGGCCACTACTACGTTGCTCGTCAATGCATCGGCTATGATACACGACATGATACAAACGAACTAGTAAACCTACATATTGACTGAAACTGAGCTTATGCCGAACCAGGTAGTGCTGCGTTCAAGACGCTCGTCACCTGTGTGCGGTCAACACTCTCTAGGTTTAGAGCCGCTTTTAAACACGGCCGCTTCTAATATTGCGGAAATGCACAGTGCTCGGTCATCGCTACGGTGTCAACGCCATACATCTCATCCACGCTGAGCATCACAGTAACGCTAAGGACAGGGTGCGAGTTGTCTACGGTAAACCTGTAGTAGGTTTCCCCTCTTGCGCCAACACTATCTGCTATCTGGCGGGCTATTCACACGACCTACTTCATTCTCGTAACGCACCACTTACGCGTCTTCGATGATATATTTTTTAATGATTTGCGGTGCTCATTGCAGCATTGTGCAAATTTTCTTAAGGAAAGCTGAAAATGGGGTCAACAGTGATGCGCGATGTATCGTGAGAGTCTGAACTATAAGACCTACCCTCCGGTTAAAACCATGTAACCTACACGCTGTGACGATCGAAATGGAAACTAAAACCGATACGTACGACACTTTCCGCTGATTGCAACAGAAAATTTACACTGGGCCACCCAGCGCAAACAAAATTCGTTGGCCAATAAAACGACAATAAAAAATCATAAAAACGCGAAATGCTCAGCCTTCGATCCAACAACAGATCTTCGACCAAGTCTGATCCATGGCACTATGAGGGTACCCCAAAACAAAAATACCGTTCCCCGCACCCGCAGACATACAGCTTTAGGGTCGTGCATTCGGGAACAAGATCCGGTGTCAACTTACGCTCGTATGGAATAAAGCCATCCTCGTCCTCTTCATCGCAGCACTCGCCATGATCTGCGTAACCTTCTTTATCAGACAGCCGCTCACCTAAGGCAATTCCGGTCATCAGTGGGCATGGTCGTATGACGCGCATGGTAACTAGCACTGAGCTACGTTTGAACATTTAAAAGGTATCTCCTGGCATTTGCTGGAAAAATCTACGTTATGTACGAAAGCATACCAGACAAAAGATCTTAGCAGTACTGAATGCGCTCATGTCGAAGTAATAATGTTATCATTTGAAAATGAGGACCCGGTTCCAAGCCGTGACTGCATTTTAAAGTCAAGGATGTGGAGCCGGGGAGACACGCGCGAAATGAATGTTGTTCACAAAGGAACACAGAATGGCAAGGAAATGTAGAACGTCGGCCCGACGTCCAAGCAAGGATCACTACGCTGAACGGAAGCTGCATTATTCTACAATACCGCAATACGGTACCAACGATCGAATCCAGACCAGGCCATGCCTGCGCACAGTAACGCAGCATGAAATACCCATAACGAATGTCCACAGTGCCTGGTGAAGTGATGAGTAACTCTGGCACGACCCTCTCAAAATTCTCAGAAACATTCGCCCGTGTAGCATAGGTCGCGAATGTTTGGAGAAATGTCTGAACAGAGAGGGTTGTCCCGCTACACAACAGGGCAACAGTTTGGACATCCTACATCAGCGTCCAGCCACTGACCGAGGGAGAGCAGGACGTGTGAGAGTCAGCCGCCATCAATGGTGCCGTTCTCGGGCCTTGTCGTATGAGTTTCAGGCATTCCATAAAGTCTCGAAGCCACCCTGGTCCTTGTCCGTCTTGACCTGCGAGAAGATCGGCAGGAACTCGTCCAGCGTCAGCTTCTTCTGCTCTGTAAGGAGCAGATGGGGACTATGTTACAGACCAGCTGAGAACGCACAATGCTACAGCGGGTAAGCGGCAGATTGTGACTTCGCTACAGACCCAGCTGAGCGGCGACCAATCAGCATGTTACGTGTGACGGGAAATGGTGATAACGACATTTGTTCAGGATTGCATACCACAACGCATAATATTTGTTATTGTGAGTTCAGAGTTCTTATGCTGGCAGTTATTGGCTTTCAATACACCAGAAGAACTGGTTGAACGACGCTATCAAAGGAAAAAACGTAGCTGTATAGTCAATGCTCGACGTTTCAAGTTGTGCTCGTGGTTACGAGTGAGGGTATGAAGATTGATGACTAACAGCATGAGAACTCTGAGCTCCTAATGCCGGAAACCAGGACATTAATACATTCCTTTCCTATATCGAATATTCGTAGGACACATCGCTCACATGGAGTCCATTACCCTCTTCCATACTATGACGTGACACAGTCTACAAGAAGGGGCCAATGCTTTCTGCGAGCTATGCTGTCAGTCAGTGGGAGTGACTCCAGCCGGCTGTGTATCTGCTTACTCTTGATCTTCTGCCCGCCGAGCTTCTCGATCATCTCCAGGGTGGGGTTGAGGTTGAGCGCGCGGAGCACGTCGCCCAAGTAGTAGGCGTCAACCTCCTCCTTGCCTTCGAAGTCGTAGATGGAGAAGGCAAACTGAGCCCCTGCGAATGTAACGTTGGTGTTGAGCAGGTATGCGGGTGGTGCATGTGACGAACGTCTCGAAGACATGTGTAGGAAGGTGGCAACGTTAGCATGTTTTTTTTCTGAGGCGTATGCAGCATACACATTTGCTTCATGCTGTTTACTGGTGTGCTTATGCAGCATTTCACCCCTCTATGGAATAGAAAAGCAGGTAAGGCACGCAGAGGTGTTTGCACCTTCGCCAGGCATTACATCTGGCTAGTGCATCTCAAAGCACAAGCCGAAGCTGTCAGGGTCGGTCAACTTGTGACGCCTGCAGCACGCGTAGGACGTTACGCACATGCGCAGTTGACGCCGTTGCTTTATGTACAATTTAACAACTTGTGCAATTTTCACTATTTCGGAGAAAAATTATCTTGAGACCTACTTCAACATCGTGTTGACCTCCGATGGGGTCCATAATATTTATAAAATGGCACGAAACTTATCAAGTTGGAGCTGTTCGCGAAGGATGGTGAGCATGTTCTGTCTCAGACTGAGTAAATAATTGTCTGGGTCAGGCTGGCTACCAATCATCAATCATTCGTCGGAATGATTGATGATTGGTAGCCAGCCAGTATCCAGATGATTATTACTCGATCTAAGTAACTGACTGAATGTTTGTTTGTCAAAGGTTTGATTCTGACTTTTTTTAAAAATTGGCAAGTGTGCTTCTTATTTATTCACCACCTGCAAGTTCTTGTTGATCGTACATCGGTATTCATGTCAGCCCGCGGATGGCAGACCACGAGCCAGCTCGGCCGGCGCGAGAGTATACTGTCCCGCATGGCACGTGGTCTTTTGCGGAACATAGCCTGTCTGGAAGCATACCGCTGAGGCGCAAAAGTTCAGCCATGGAAGTGCCTATCGTCTTTAGCATTCACGTGAGATTCGATATGAATTCAATGGTTTTGAAATACGTTTACAAAACATAATGCGACGCTCTCTTACTAATTCGAAACGCACTTTGTAGTTAAAACAAAAGTCGCTAAAAACGAAGATCTGACCCCGCCTCAAGCAAATGCTCCCATCGTGCCTTTCCACCAACCACACGGACACGTTGTTTTTGAGCTTGCAAGCCGCGGATCCCGTGGGTAGCTCAGCATCGCTTCGGTAAAACCGGCCGGGCCGTTTTCAGAGCGGACTCGGATTACGCGCCAAGAACAACATCGGGCGATCCCGGCCAGACCCCCGCCGCTCCGGCAGGGTTTTCGGATTTGTCAGTGGTTCAACGACACAGCACTTAAAGAAGTCTGTGTTCTCATCGGCATCAAACGCTAGTTGCATTGTTGCATCCATCCCAGTGGGGGAGTCATAAAAAAAAAAAATAATGGCATATCATAGGCTCACCCAAATTTTTGAGCATGTGCTTAGCCTAATCTGATCGCCATAAGTATTTTCCATGGCCCGTGGTCCCACTGTTCAAGGAGTCGTATAATTTTGAGACACAAAAAGTGAAGAAGGTCGCGTCCCAGAACCTTTCCATGACCATTGGGGGAGGAAAGTTGCGGTTTTGAGAACATTCTTCTCACACAGCGCGTGTAGGCCACAAACGTCTGAGACGTGGGAATATAGATAGACATAGAAGACATGGCACGCTAACTGACCAGTCACATTTCACAGAAGCTGCGTATTGTGATGCGTTTGAGAAGAGCTATTCTCAGCATCTGTGACACATGTCTCTGCCGCCTAGTATCTGCCTTGGACGGGGCGTCCGCCGTCAGGCTGCGCGCCGTCGCCCGCCGGGACGCTGCTGTCGCCTGGCAGCCGGCCACTCGGCATAGTTCGGCAAGGTTCCTGGGCCAGATTTAGCGCAAACACCTGCCACGTGGCGGCCGCGACGTCCGGGCGGCGGAGCCGACCCCGCGGGCGGCTCACCAGGCTGGCCCGCTGCCAGCCAGGTACAGTCATCCCGGCCAGGGGTGGCCCGTGTCTCTCCTCGTCCCGCTAGGGCCGGGAGAAATTTGGGAGCGGGTTGGTGGTGGCTGCGCTTTACTGAGCGCGTAGCTCTTTGATGCTGGTTCATCGTGATGACGAGTTTGCTGTTGCCATCATTAACCGGGTTCGAATGAAGCGGACAGAAATGCAGGCATAGACGCCATCTATGCATTCGCAAGAAACAGATCGTTAGGAAAATAGCTAATATTTTTGCTGTAACTATGATATTGTACATCATTTCAATATAGACGTCAGGTATCAAAACAATGATACGCAGGGACACGTCGACATTGTACAATCAATCATCGATCAATATGAAATCTTCAAATTATGACTTAACATTTAACTTAATCATCTCTCAATCAATAATCTGATTTAATGATGGTGCCGACATCTTAAGCACATGGTTATCACCTGTCGCTGTGCGTGCTCCATTCAGGCCTCAGGACGGATGAAACAATTACACGTGAAGTGCGGAGGCCGAGGCATTGACAAACGCCTCGTCTCACATACACCCTTGCAAAACGTGGCTAGTAGTGCGACAAATGACTGGGGCACCGTCAGCGCATGTTGTCTCACAGCAGCGGGGGAAGAATGGAGCCGGGTACTCACTCTCAACATCCCTGGCAGCGAGGTCGGCCTGCGGGAAGAGGCCGACTGTCAGCGGACAGTGGGGCCCACCTCGCCCAGTCGTATGTCACGGCACCAACAGTCAGGCGGGAGGCCGTACAGGTCCGTCCACGATATACGGGTATGCAGCCGCAGACACATAGCTACCCATGTCGTAACGCCCAATGGGTAGAAGACGGCTGGTGAATACAGAACGGCTGTGATGATCCATTTCCTCGCTCATCTAGATTTCAACGACACAGCTCGAAGTCTCCAAATGGGAGATAATCCGCCCAGTCATTTGCCTGTCTCTGTTATGAGCACATCATGCAGAGCCGAGTACAAGTTGAGGAGGACGCGTTCTTCGGTCAGTCTCCTTCAAACATCTCCTAATCCAACTCTGCCTATCATAATCATACAACTTCAAGCTTTAACACCCGCAGATCTCCTGGCCACCAAGTAGCCAAGGCTAAGCCAAGCTTAGGAATAGCCAAGCTTCGTCCGCACCGCAGAGATAGGCCCCAACGCCCGACTCGCCGAAGTCGGGGGGCCAGCTCTTACCATGGTGTTGTTGGTGCGGTGGGATGTTGCGCTGTGCACCCCTCGCTGACTAGACCCGAAGTGAACCCGCACTGCCGCCGCGCAGCCGCTGCTCCCAATTTTGGCGCGCAGATGGCGCCTCGCTCGCCGGCTAAAAATACGCCGACGGATTCTTGTTGGCCGCCCGCAGTCGTGGGGACCCTGTCCGGTCACACGATACAGAACCTAAAGCTGGGTGGACGGCACTGCGCCGGCCCTCAAACGGTCACTGGCGCAGCCCGGCGCCGCTGGCGAGTCAGCTGACCCCCGGGCTGCACCTCGGGGATCCTCCGGGACTGCGGG